ATAAGAATGACGTTTACATATATTTCGTTATTATAAATTTCTTTTTCCATGTTCATAATGATTCGTCAATTTTTAACGATTAGGTTGAATATGATAAGAATGACGTTTACATATATTTCGTTATTATAAATTTCTTTTTCCATGTTCATAATGATTCGTCAATTTTTAACGATTAGGTTGAATATGATAAGAATGACGTTTACATATATTTCGTTATTATAAATTTCTTTTTCCATGTTCATAATGATTCGTCAATTTTTAACGATTAGGTTGAATATGATAAGAATGACGTTTACATATATTTCGTTATTATAAATTTCTTTTTCCATGTTCATAATGATTCGTCAATTTTTAACGATTAGGTTAAATATCATAAGAACGACGTTTACATATATTTAGTTATTATAAATTTCTTTTTCCATGTTCATAATGATTCGTCAATTTTTAACGATTCGGTTGAATATCATAAGAATGACGTTTACATATATTTCGTTATTATAAATTTCTTCGTCAATTTATAACTATATAGGTTTGAGTGTCATAATAATGAAATAGCTCGAGTTGGAATGAGTTAAGTGACATTCATCTATTTCTACTTGTGATTTACACATTCGCGCTAGAATTAACAAAAAAAAAAAAAAAAACAACATCTCAAATCTCCAAAAAAAACCTAAAAATCTTCAACCTATCTACATTCGACTCGAACGACTACAGATTATAAATCGGCAGGGCAGTTGCTGTCTCAACAACAGAATATAGACAAGCCGCGTGAACTGAAACGAGTTGCGTCGGGAATCGAGCCTGTTTAAAATAACCAACGGGGCAATATCGTTTTCGCTGAAAACAAATTCCACGAAACGGTAGTAATAATTCCAACGAAATTAACCAATCCATCTTTAATCCTGTATAATTAACGTCCTTTCTATACGTGTCCCTTGCCATTAACCAACGTAAATCGTGCAAGAACATCGCGAACGTAATCGTGTAATAGGAAGGTATCGTGTTAAGGCCCGGAACGATTTTCCCGCGATTCCCGTGGGCCCCGTTCGCTAGAAAGTCGCCAGTGAATTATCGAGCATCCAGAGGCGTGTCCCGGATGGAAATTTATTCGACGTGCACCTCGAACGTGCACGTTCGGGTCTTGGGGGCCCCGGCATTAATGTATCTGCCGTGAAATCGGTGTCCTCGGAATCGCGCGACACGCACTCGATGTTGTTGCGACTTTCTTTTTCTCTCTCCGATCCGGCATACCGGTCCGGGGACACGGAGATGTGGCGGTGTGGTTTCTCGCGAGGGCCTATCGGCATCGGTCGGCACCCGATCTTTTGACGCCGCCATCCGAGAAAAACTATAATTACCGGCGAGACGGTCGTTCGATCGGCCTGAGAAACCTGTAGTATGTAACCACGCGGAATCGAATGTCAACCGTCTTTAGATAGAGAGGCCTCGATGGGGAAGACTGAAAAACTCGTTAGAGATTTTGTGCGAGTGGTTTGTGAAGTATGCGATGTTTAAGTATTTTCGGTTAGGACGAAATCTGATTGATTGATACACGTTTTAGTAGTTCGCGTCTTGTATTAATGAAATTAATACAATTAGATTAAGTGTTTATTGTGTCTGGATGGATTCAAGATTTCAATATCTGCGTAATATAGCAATTTTGAAGGATAATGTTTATTTCATATTTTGTTTATCATGTATTTTAATTTGTAGAATCGGTTAGCATGGTTTTTCAGCTTTTCCATGTATTAGACATTTCTTCAGCTGGTTCAAAAAGCGTTGCAGTGAAGAATTTAAAATATACTTGTGCAATAATAATGTTCTAAATTCGTAATGTTCTAAATAATAATGTTCTAAATTCGTAATGCGTATATAGTAAACTAAATAAAAATGAAATTATATTATAATAATAAAAAAAAAAAAAATGTATATGTATGAAATTAGCCTTGGATATGGGAGTCTATTGTGTGCATGTACCTAACACATACATAGAAAGTATTTTCCTTGTTATTTTCTAATTTTAACATTGTGCCATTCGTTTTAAAAAATCGTAATTTACGAAAATTACGATTTTTTCTACGTTCTGTCAAAAACAGAAAAATTTGTAAATAACAGAGAACATGTAATAATAGAAGCACATATACTCGAATGATTCAAACGATCATTTTCGATTTAAGTCGCACAAAAAAAAAAAAAAAAAAAATACTGAGCAATTTTCAAACCAACAGACGCGTGGCTCTCATGCAAAATGGAAATTATTCTCGCGAGTTTCACGAACGTGACATTCAAGTTCCCTTCCTCTGTAGACACGTTAAACGCAAGGAAAAAGATGCTGATAAAGATCTCGCTAGCGAAAGGGCACGGCCATCAAAAAAATCTAATTAGCATCGCGACTCGACGACACACGTATTACATTGTTGCCGACAACGCTGCTAATGTTATCAAAGCGCGTTTTAACTCAACGAGCAAGGAAATTCCCGTGGAAAAAATAAAAGAGAAAGAGTCCTCGCCGAGCGTATGATCATACGCGCGTAATCACGCAAGATCCCGGCGGAGAAAAGGAGGAAAGCCAAACTTAACGATTGATCGCCGATAACATCGATCAAGACTAACACCACATACCTTGCCACCGTTTATCATCTCGCCTTCCCCCTGTCGTCGATTCGTCGAACCTCTCTCGATCGTCCTGAAACACAGTGGAAAATATACCATTTTTTCTCGTTACCAAATCATTATATCAAACTACTATGGTAGTAACTGCTATCATCTTGGGTCGCGATGATAAAACGATCAACTTCGTTTCTGTGAATCTTCCTTCTCTTTCTCGTCGTTCCGAGAGAGAGAAGAACAATTGCAAATGTTTTTGGGAAGGAAGCTTAGTAAGTAACTAAATTGTTTTTTTTTTTTTTTTGAGTATGTTGATATGTTTTTGAATTGTTAGATGGAATTTTATTATATTTTATATATTAATATCTTATATATATATATATATGTATTTTTATATTTTATTGAGACGAAATTTTAAGGATTCTTTCTTAAATATACAAATAAGAACAATCGCATTATATAATATATATATATATTTATATTTTATTGAGACGAAATTTTAAGGATTCTTTCTTAAATATACAAACAAGAACAATCGCATAGTCCGATTTTTTTGGATAGCGGGAGAGTCAGGTACCAATTCCAGATCCCTATTCCAGAAAATATTGAGTTTCGCGATTCCAGAGAACCTCGGGATTCTTTCGTGACAACTTCGGGTATTTTTTCAGACATTTCCCCTGGGAATTTCAAGTTTCCTGATAAATTTTGTGTTTCCCGAGACCTATGGAACAATTTCGAAATACACTAAGGATATCCGACACTTGCGCAACCATTGAGAGAATTTCGAGATTTCCAACCAATAGCGTGATTCCCGAGAACCTCGGAACGTTTTCAGATACATCTGGCACTTCGCGCGAACTTTAGGACAATTTTGGAACACACGAGAGAACGTCAAAATATCCGACAGTTGCGATAGTTGTCGAGAATTTCTGAGAATTTTCAGTTTGCCAAGGATCTTCGCAGATATTTGGGATTTCTAGAAAATTTCGTGTCTCCCGAAGAGCAAAGAGCAAGTAGAAAATAAACTGTCCAATCCAAGTGGCGCGAATTTTGATCAGCGAGGCCGACTGGAACAACCTTCGGTCTTCGTTTTTCTCCCTCTTCACACGTCGTCCCACGCGGCGGATGAAAGCGGACGCGAAGGAACACGGTAATAAAGTCGCGTCTCGTTACGCGATGATACGGCTAGCTGACGGGCAGGGCGCCGTGCAATTACCGAGTTGCATAATTGCGCGCTGTGGCAACAGAATGTAATGAAAAAAAGAAAAAAAAAAAAAAAACTGTATCAGCCCGTGCCGGGCTGCCCGCAATATTACTTTATTAGCGAAATGGGATAATGCCACGGTGTGTGACAAATTGGGAGCAACGGACGCTCGCGCGCCAGGCGACGGCCGGAAAAGCGATGAATATTCATGGAGACGGCCGAGAGAGGAGAGAGAACAGCCACGCTGGCACACGATGGGACCGCTATGCCCGCTAGAAGCGCGAGCAACGTGCCACCCAATGTTCACACGTCTCTTCGAACGTCAATTGTGACCACTACCTGGTATGTACACACATTTTAAATCTGTCACTCTGATCGCTCCAAGCGAGTCGCTAAATGAGTGACTTTATTAGTCGTGTCGATGTTTTTCGTCAGTAAAGTTGGTTATCTAATTGTATCATAAGTCACAGATGAGTCGTTTTCTTTTTTTTTTTTTTTTGAAAGTGATATAAATCCACTTTTGGCAAAACAAGAGTCGTAACGATAGTTTTTTGCGAGGCATAGATGTATATTTTTTGTATTTGTAATAACAGAATCAACAGAGTGTCAACAATTTGTATAAATTAATCAAGAGAAGTTTAACTGTGAAATGATATCGCAAGAATGTTTTTTTTTTTTTTTTTTTGAAAATGGAACAGTTACCCGAACTTGTTAATGTTTGGTGGTATTTTTTAACTGATTCAAACGCAAACAGTGAAATATCTCTATGTATGAGTAAATGGTCACTTGTACCACTTTCAAAAACAACGGTTCAAATGATGAATAAGGGGGATTATATATATTATAATATTGAATAACGACGTGGCATAATGTGCAGGTGAAAAGAAATGTGCTATGTCTATCATTATTTCTTAATTTATTTTCTTTATGAAATATTCGAAACTTTGAGTTTCAATCCATTTCATGATGATGCTATTTGCTGAGTTTTTTAAAATGAAAACTCATATTTTTCCAGAATGTAATCAAAAGAACCGAAATATAAAATCAGTTTACTAAAAACACAATATTTTTGTGAAATGTGTTGTAGTTACTAGTTATTTTTTTTTAATTTTCATTACAGACTTGAAATGGGCCAACCTTTCTTTTCCCCAATTTGTTTTATAATAGTATTACTGAATTACGGACTTTTATGTACATTTATATTTTTGAGAATACAATTAAAAAAAGTCAGACATGGATAGAGAATTAGTTTACGTACCAAATGTTTCAGAAAGATCAGTTGGATATTTTATGAGTAATATCTTCTCGTGTTATGTGCATTTTGTTTGAAATTCCCTCATGATCTCTAAATATTACATTTCTTTCATTGATTATTATTAGCAAGTTTATTATTAATTATGACTAAATAACAATAGTTGAATACATTTTTATTAAATTTAATTTTGTTTTGTTTCGTAATTGCGTTGTCGTTAGAACGTTAGAATTAATTTTCGAATTATTAGGTTGTTACATAAATCCAATATATTTCCATAATTATTACACGAATGGAGACAATAAAACGAACGCGCATACGCATGTGTTATAGTTGAATGTATCGTACTGTTATCTAAGATCACTATTTTAATTAACTTTTCCTTCGTTCGATCAATGTCACTGGCACTCAATGCTTAAAAAACATTTATGTACATATATGTATAGTTTATTATATGGGAGTTAATTTGTCCTTCACGAAACTCTCATGAAACGAGCCTTTATGAGACGTATATGTTTAATACATACTAAGCGCAATTACGTTGTTTCTCTTGGGTGAAACTTCGTTGATAAAAAGGAAAAAAAAAAATAGTTTTTGCCGAGATATAAATGATGAATGGGTGTATGTTTGCTAGTTAACAAGCTTGCTTTTTACTTAATGCAATTACATAGAATGAGTTCACATAATGAGGACCGTTCAACGCATATACGTAGATATACCTTTCATCGTCGATGGAATTTTATAGAAAAAAAAAAAAAAAAAAAAGGAAAGAAAAGGAGGAAATTTCGCACTTCTAAAGAGTTATAAATAACTGCGCGTATGCTCGTCAAGTAATTAGTTAAACAGAATAAAATTGCACGCGCGAAAAACTTTTAACGAGCTATCGGAATATCAAGCGCAATTCACGCGAAATCTATAATCATCAATGGTACATTATTTTTATTACACTGTTAGTATGCTTCGTGGCATACAAAATCCCGCATTTGCATCAGAAATTTTTCATTTATATATTATATAATTTATATAATATATGTATTATATAAATTATATATAATATATAATTTATATTATATATATTATATAATTTTATATGTTAATGTATTATTATGTGAACCTACATATATTTATATTTTGTATTATTATATTCACAATTTGTATAAAAGATGCAACTATTTAAAAATTTCATTACATTTACTTCCACTGTCTCTAACATGATTGAAATAAATGAAATGTTTTATCAAAGAAATATTGGCATAAATAATAATGTTCTATCATAATCAAAAGTCCTCTAACAATAACTACATTGACTTCGAAAAATATTTGAATCTGATCTTGTCTTCTATAATATAATATTTCTTATCAGATCGTAAATTTCATTTTTATAACATTAAATAATTGTCATAATCATATATATATATATAAGCGCTAAATGACTACATTTCCATTCGAATGTCTTAGGTCACATTTTATTTTTAACTTTCCGAATATTTAGCATTGGTAATCATATAATTAATAAATTGGCTTATTAAACAGGAAAACAGATTGCAATATATCGTATGAGTATATTAAAAATATAACAAACACGTTTAAAGATAAATTTTTAACCTGTTGCATCCTCCTCATTCAGTATTAAATTTTCAAAGTTTTGTTATGTGTATTTTATAATATAAATTAAATCACTCAGTATTAAACTTTCAAAATTTTGGTAATTTTAAGAGTTTAGTAGTCAATCTTTAAGCTGCATGTATATTTTATAATACAAGTTAAATTAAATCGATTAAATATAAAGTATTGTAGTACATAAAATATTATTTATATAAATATTTATATAAATATTTATATAATATATTATATTAATATTATATATATTATATATTATAGTATATAAAGTACTATTTAATTTTTTCACTTTTCACAAAAAATATAATGCTTGTCCCAAGACCTTCAACCTGGACTTAATTAATTTAATGCTACACGATAAATACAACGATGTGCGAACGCTTGTTACCATTACTTGTAACCATTACAAGCATACTTATAAATATCGAAGCGTTTCGAGGTAACCCGTATCAAAGGAACATAAAGAAAGAGTACCGTTTTCTTTCTCGCGGTCGCGGCACGTCCGTACACAAAAGTACGCGGCCGAGAGATCGCGTTGCTATGCTGTAGACCAATTTATTCGCGTTAATAATATATGTGATTAAAATTTCTCGTTCCGTGCTTGTCACGCGTCTCGTTCGTTGCAGCGTTTCTAATTAAAGTAACAAGCTAGGTCAAAGAATTTACCGTGAATCATTACGCCCGGCGCACTATGATTACTCGTCCCCTCCCCGATGCCCGTGGATGTCGTTAAAATCGCGTGAAAAAAAAAAAAAAAAAAAAAAAAAGAAAAGAAAGAATACTTTCAGTTATTTGTTGCAAGTTGCTATTAGCGAATCTTTGTTGGAATCCTTGTTATTTGCGATAAAAATTGGTGTTGGTTAATATGTGATGAAACAACTAAAAATAGTAGCTAATAATTGCAATTTAATTGTTATGATATATTTGTTATGATATGTACACAACAACAGTAAATAAATACGATCGATTTGTGGATCAGCGTATAATTCACATTTAATTCCTCA